TCGACACTGGACACAACGTACCTGGATTCCCTCTGTTCTTCAGACCCAGAGCCCATTGACCGTCTTTTACAAGAGCGAGAGGTGATAAAACATGACACTACGTGCTGTAAACGTTGTGTTTCGTTGCTTTTTGTGAGCAGGAGGTCGACCTACGATGAGCAGAACAATCTAACCAGGGTTTTATTTGAACCATTTTGTTGCTTTTTACTTGTAACATGAGTATTACTGTTGTGGTATTGCTACTTTTATGGCTAAAATGTACGACTGTGGCTGCAGAGTTTGAAAGACATGGGACGCTATCGAGTTGCATTGTGGGACATGTAGGAATCTGTGCTCATCCGTCTCTCAGATGAACTCGACACTGGACACAACGTACCTGGATTCCCTCTGTTCTTCAGACCCTTTGAAGACACGTCCTCACCCACCTAACCCACCGACGAAAAGGTGGAGCAGAATCCCGGAGGCCGGCACAATCAGCAGCCTGCGTTTAGCTCGCAGGAGACGATCTAAACTGCCTCCCACACTGTAAAACCTGATGAGTAAAGTCAACTCAAATAGTTTGAGGAAACCAATTGCCTTGAACCATTTAAGTTAAATAACTCAAATCCTTTTAGTGGAAAAAATTGCTTAAATGGAGTACTCCTAACTCAAGTATTTATTGTTAGGTATACTTAAGTAAATAAATGACTAGTACTAACTCTATTCTTTGTATTGAACTTAAAACATATTAGTTATTTAAACTTATTTGTAATGTTTGTATGAACTCATTAAAATGATGTAACAGCAAATATATGATTTAAGTCTGACTAACTTGAATAGCTTATGTTACAACAACTCAAAATGGTATAGCAGCTACTCAATTCATTTAAGGAAACTGATTGCCTTGAACCATTCAAGTTGCATTAACTCAATACAAATACTCAGTTAGATGCAATGAATTTATTTTAACAAATATGATTTTTTTGACCACAACATTACACATTATGTCAAAATTAATCCACACAGCTGCCAACATAAAAAAATAAATCACTGATCAAATATATTGTGCTCATAGCAAACATTTTTTCAAAAATTATAAACTGAAAAGAGTCATGAAAAGTTTTTGTATTTTCTCTGAACAAAATGTTGGGCTTGCTTAACAACTGGCCAGCTGGGTTTGAAATGTTACTAACTAACGTTAGTTACTAGCTAACGTTACTGTTAGGACGGCTGTTAACGTTACCGCTTATGTGACGGCCCCTGTCTCTAATCACTGCAAGTATGCTTTTGTCCCTCTGTCCCTAGAGAGCAGATTACCTGATGCAGAGCACCTGGTCCGGGAACAGGGAGGGCATAAAAACCCTGCTCTAGCGTTGCTCGGGGCGGGTTTTCTCTCCAGCGTACGTGGAGTGAACCCAGCCAGTTGCTGCCGGTTATTATGGTTTTGGTTTCCTTTGGTTTCGCTGACAACACCCACACTTCATCCCACAGGCATTCACGGTGACACTACTGATGTTATTGATTGACACACTTTATAAAGTTAACTATTTCTTTATTTAGTCAAATAAACATTTTACGTTACCATCATTTGTTGTGTCTCTGCCGTATTTGTCATGGCCTAGGAGCCGGGTTATGACACTTATAAGCTGTCTGTTAATGTTACCGCTTATAAATGTGCTATGTCTGTTAACGTTACCGCTAATAAACTGTCTGTTAACGTTACCGCTCATAAATGCGCCATGTCTGTTAATGTTACCGCTCATAAATGTGCTATGGCGTTATGTGAACGCACGTGTCCAGACACAAAGTAGCTAATTATTAAAGTGAGTGGATGGTAAAATGTTTTCACGGTCAGATCTTCATTTACCGCCCACATGTCACGGAGACACAAATAGCAGACAGCAGTATTCGTGACATGTACAGAGAATCTGCTTCTCCTCAGTCATCAGCTGTTCCAACTGAATCATATGACTGTGGCCCTCACGTGCATGACTCAGAAAATGTTATAGAGACCAGCACAGATAAAGGTGATATGGATATTTCTGAAAAATTCAGTGATCTTTTTCTGTTTATTAGGGCCCAAGCACCGACAACGTCGGGCCGCGAGGTCCCTATTGAAACTGTAGGAATTATTATTATTATTATTATTATTAGGGCCCGAGCACCGACAACGTCGGGCCGCGAGGTCCCTATTGAAACTGTAGGAATTATTATTATTCTTTTTCTCTCGAATGAAACGCCATTTTGGGGGCTTTATCATGTCCCCAACATCCCCATATTTGGCAAGCATATCAGGATTGCGGGAAAATTTGATATTTTATGGGTCCAATGCTCGAGCATGACAAAATTGCTTGCTAGTGCCCCCTAGAAGTTGGAAATGCAAGCCCCGACAGCCCGTATGTCCAAATGACTTAAAATTTTACGGTCATGAGCAACTGAATGAGTTCTACAAAAAATCCTCTTGGGACCCTAAGCTCTGCCTACCAAAATTTTCCACCATTTTGAATGTTGTAAAAAAAAAATAGAAAATTCACTTCTCCTAGACCCTGGTATCTGATTGGTACCAATTTTTTTGTGAATCATTATTGGATCTATATCATCAAAAGTTATGAAAATGTTGATATCTTATTGCATTAAGAATATATGGACCAATGAATTTCATAGGAGCGTGGCCTTCTACAGCAATATATATAACTTCAAAACCATGTGGCCTATCCTCACGAAATATGTAGCATATGTTCACATTGTGTGCTGTAACATGCCCTCAAATTTTCATTCCATACAACCACTAGGGGGCGATGCAGTAATACTCCCATTTCTTTGCATTTTTAGGCATTTTTCATCGTTTTCAGGCATTGTACTTTAACTCCTCCCACAGAATTTATACGATCAACTTCAAATTTGGTCAAGATGATCTAAAGACATTAATGATGAAAAGCTACTAAAATGGTCTACTGACATTGAATGACCTTCGTTTTATGTGGCGCCCATGTCACGCACATTTCGTGCCGTTCGCCATGAAAGAGGCTGCGATTTGTTACCGAGTGTTTGGAAGGAAAATACTGTAAAATTTCATGCACAGAATCATAATATGACATAATAATATGTAACATATCTGTTGTGTTTGTTTTATTGAAAAACTATCAAAGGAAGTGACAAAATGAAAGCACAAAGCAGAAGCCAGTCTGGGCACATCAACAAAATATTCAACCTTTTTGCTTGTACAACACCATTATTGACACATCAGTATTTCATCAGCTCTACAAACACCTCACAGCTGCACTAAACGTGGAAACAAATGCATTCATTGGAGAAGTTAAAGCATAACTTGGGCAATCTCAGACCTCAGATCCAGCAAGGCCAACGACTTTAAGTAGATCAGCAGGCTTCAATGTGCAACTACTGTCATGTGGTCTTAGGCGGCACATAAAGGGTTAAAACAAAGATAACTCAAAGCTAAAAAATCTCTTTACTCTATGACATATTTTAAAAAGTGTCTGTGCCCAGCACAGTAAACTCTATCAGTGAGATCCTATAGGGAGAGCTCCCTGAAACATGTAACAAGGCCTCAGTTATAAGATTGTGCAAGAGGGCACAAGTGTTCCCCTGACGTTTGTCCAGGCAGGCATCAAACAATCAGGCCACAACGCTGCGGTTGAATCTGTGCAGACCATGTGGTTTTTCTAAAGACGTGAAGGTCGAGCCTACAAGCGATCAATCTCTTGGATTCATCAGTTAAATCTCCACATTTTTGTGTTGAGCCAGTATTGGGAAACAAGAATTTTTGGGAGATTTTGCAGATTGAATGTGTTGCCACTGCAGATGATGTGTCAGAAGTCCAGTCTGTTGATGAGGGCATCAACCACCAGAGTGATTTTACAGTTGTCCTCTTCCTCTGGCGGGACGTACAGCTTGTGAACAGTGCTCTGAGAAAAAGAAGTAATAAATAAATACAAATAAATAACAGAATTCTATCAATGCCTCATTTGAATATTCAAACATGACATTTCAGAAAAGTTGTAATACAAAACATAATTGTGTTAATGTAAGTATCAACTGGGGGAGTTTCATGGTGATACCTATTAGTTACCCTATTCACCGTGCTTTAACCCCAGACTTAAAGCCATGTCCACATTACTCCGTTTTTACTCCGTATTTGCTATGTTTACACTGAGCGGCCACACTACGCCGGAGTTTTGGAGCACCCTAAACGGAGGAGTCTGAAAACTCCCCCGAGGTTGGAGGTATTTGAAAACTCCGGGGTTTTAGTTGCGTGTGGACGGTCGGAAACGGATGTGTGTTAGAAAAAACTAGAAAATTCCTAAAGAAATTTTGACAGTGTGGCTTCTACTGCCCGAAGAAATCGCAATATATACACACGCCAATGTTACCGGCAGTGTCATTCAGGTTCAATTGAGATAGCGCTACTCTCTTTTCTGCATTTTAGATTCATACTCTTGGATTGAATCTTGTATTTGTGGGGCTTTTATTTTGAAAGGGTGGGACTGGGTGGGTGAGAGGAGACAGAACATGCAGAGAGAGAGAGACAGACAGCGAGATAGAGGGAGAGGAGTGTATGTGCGTGTGTGTCTCAGTGCCTCTGTGTGTTTATCAACATCACTAATGAGCTCATATAAACACCTGTGTGCATGTTGGTGATTGGAGCACCTGTGTGTTAGAGGCTAACTAAGAGAGAGAGTGAACAGTGATTTCCAACAAAACTACCTGTCAAACATATGCCCTCTATACCAAAACCATGAGACTAATCAATAAAATATGGATACCGTGAGAGAGATAAGACTCTGGCAAACGCGGAGATGTGTTTTTTATGTTTGTGGTCTTAAAAATGTGAGCTCCAGCGCAATATGCAAAACTGGTACCGTCTGCTTTCTTTGAGAAATGAGTGGTCAGATTTAACATGGAGTCTAATGGAGCAGTTGGTTGGAGTTCATGTCGCTCTGTGGCTCTTTGAGCCACATCTGTAAGTCCGTTGGATTCCACAGACATCTGTGTGCGACAGCACAACATTTCCAAGCTTTTTGGCCAAAAATGGTGTATAAAGAGTAAAAATTGTGGGAGCTGGAGCAATTTGTTTGGAAAAATCACAGAAGATTTTCCTGCTCCGCTCCACTCTGAC